GGGTGGGTATGGGCTGAGAACCACAGGTCAACTGAAATGCTGGCTCTGACTCTGGGGGGTTCTGACCCTCCTCATGTCCAGGTTCTAGTGTCTGCGTCCTTCCTCCCCTCATGACCCAAATGCAGCAGCATCTCTGGGTCTGGTTGTACGTGTGGGGCTGGGCTCTGGCCTTGGCTGGGTGAGAGCCTGGTTCTCTCCTCCCAATAAATGTCCAACCAAGACAAATCTGCGCTGGAATCAATCAGCCTTTGGTGACCTTGAGAGCAAGGGTCTGGGTTATAAAAAAAAAAAAGGAGACTATTAATAATTCCAGGACAATTCTTAATGAACACACACAGGAATTCAGCGGTAGGAGCTCCTCCCCTGAAGGTCATTTAATTCCCAGCACCAACATGGTCAAGTCCAAACAGCTCTATCACCAGCCTCATGGTTTGGCAGATGGAGTACAAAATTGACCAAGGAGTGGTCATGATGTTACCTGCAGCAAGTCATAGCCTATCATACTTTCCTTCCAGTCAAGGCTCATCTGTGATGCAGTTGGACCACTTCAGAGAATGCACCTCTCTCTTCCTAAAGACACATTTGTCTTCTCCACTTGGCCAGGGACTTTGGATATTTCTGAATCTGGACCAGGTGTGTACCTCTCCCCCAGCCCGACTTGAGGAGGCTGAGGCTGTAAACAAACTCCACTTGCTGCTGGCCGTACCCCTATCCAGGGCTCTCAGGGACTCACACGACGTTACCCTCTAGAAAGCACCTTTATTCTTGGTGAGTGATCTTGGGGAGACGTCCAAGGTGCACAATACTCTCCCCGTCCCTGCCACTGGGAAGAAATAATACTCTATTCGTGGAAGGAGCAGTAGCCACCCAGCTTACAGAAGCTGAGGGGGGTGGGAACACACGCAGTTCATTCTTGTCTTCTCTGGAGAACCTGCTCACCCAACCTAGTGCTGGAAGAATGCTCCATGCATCCGTGACAAAGGCACAGGGTGCCGGGGACAGGACGGTGACACTGAAGAGCTACAGGGGGCCACTGGGTACAGCCCCATCCTAACCTACCTACCCAAAATGCTGCATCACCCCCTTCCTCCCTCTTAGTACCCAGAGGTGATGTTGGGCTGAAGCCCAAACTCCCAGGGCCAGGCTTGGGGAGGCCCCTAAGTTGAGTCTGGCCCCTCAAGGGCTGGGCAGTCAGAGGAAAGATGCTACAGAAACTCGCTGCTCCACAGGCTTGGAGCTGCCCCATCCTGTCCTTGGTGGTCAGCAGCTTGCAGGTCCCCAGGTTGTCACCTTCCTCCCTGGGCAGCTGACCATGTCCTGTGGCTCTTCCAGGAAGGCCAGTGGCAGCTTGTCAAGGTTCCGTAAGCATGTGCTTCTCAAGGTGAGGTAGAAACATCCGTCTGCCCACCGGAAGCGGCATCACCTTGAGGCCCGGGGTCCTGGGGGAGCCTGGATTCCCTGCCCCTTGAGGCCCGGGGTCCTGGGGGAGGCTGCATTCCCTGCCAGGATGCTCACCTGACCCAACACTCACTGGGCTTACTGGTCGCCCAGAGGCGTCCAGGTTGTACTCACTGTCACCTGCCAGGTCTATGTGAAAGCTGGCATTTATTTTAATCTGCCCCCGCCCCAGAAGCCACCTTCCAAACTGGCCGAGAAGCCAAGGACAAAAGGGAGCAGTGCGCACAGAAAGAAATGTTCCTGGCCCCGTGTGGTGTCGAGCCCCAAATGCCACAGTGGCCTGCAAACTCCCCCAGTTCCTTTGTGGGGTTCCCTGTGAGGTAGAGCCAGACGGAGACAGCGTCTCTGGGAGGAACGAGGGTGGGATCCCCAGCTCCCAGAGGGGGAGGGGCAGTCAGAGCAGAGGACAGATGGACTAGCACTGGCTTGCTGGTGGAGCCTAAGGTCACTGAAGGCACAGGGGTCATGGTGTACGGGGCAGCTGAAGCACCAACAGCACTCAGGTCCAGGGCCCACAGACCAGAGCAAAGCGGCGTGTCCAGCTCAGGGGCTCCCACGGGCCGGGTGTCAGCAGGGAGGCCAAGGAGAGAGGGCCGGGGTGCTCGAGTCCCCACCACAAGGCTGCAAAGTCATGGAGAAGACGCCCCAGCAGAGTGGCCAGTGCTGGAGCTGAAAGTCAGCCACGCCAGGAGGTCTGTGGCCGAGGAGAGGGCTCGTGAGGCATGTCTGTCATCCACAGCAGGGATAAAGGCCAACAGGAGGGGACACTCCTGTCGTCAAGGAGCAGCAGCAAGAGCTGTGATCTGGGGGTGCCACGTGGGGAGGGGGAGGCAGGCTGAGTCTACAGACGGCTAGTGCCGCCTCGGTCACTTGGGGTCCCAGAGAGCCAGGGCTAAGCCCTTCCCAGGCTCCCTGCCCTGTCCACTGCTTCAGATCACTGGCCTCAGTCCCTCTCAGCTCCAGTGACAAGGGCAGGAGAGGCGCTGGGCCCTGGCCAGCCTGGGCCCAGAGGGACGAGGACATCAGGGCTCCGGGCGGTCCAGGAAAGAAGACAGCTACCATCGCGTTTTATTTTGCGGGGACTGATCCTAAAGTAAGCAGAAAGAAGAGGAGTCAGAGGGGGGCCCTTGCTCGCTGCTCTCAGCACCACTTCAGCATCTCAGGGGCCGGGGCGAGCTGAGCACAGAAGAAGGGGATCCGGAGAAGTCTTACCGCTCTTCCGGGACCTTTCCCCTTTCAAGACAAGCTCTCCCCTTCTACAAATGATGTCAGGAAATAGCTCCGGAGAAACATTCCCAAGCTCGGAAGGGACAAGCCCCTGGCGGGCAGGCCTGAAAACCCCCTCGCAATGCCTTGAGGGGTGTCCAGGCGGCAGGACACTGAACCTAGCCAGGCAGCTCAAGGGTCAGTGTGCTCTAGCCAAGGCCACTGGGAAAGGTCACCGGGCTCTGGAGACTAGAGGAAGCCTGGCCAGTCTCAGGTTGGCTGCTTGTAGAAGCAGAGGGACCGATTCTCGGGCCAGGCTCCATACTTGTACAGGGGGAGCTACATGGAGTGCTGCCCCCACCCCCCAACTCAGGGCTCCTCCTAATTCTACGTGACACGGTTCTGAGACGTGACACGGTTCTGAGACGTGGTCACTGGTCTAGTCCCTCCCGGAGTGACCATGACATTTAAAATGAGCTGTTGTGGAATTGTTTTATTTACAAACCAAACCCAAACCCACCACCATTGTCAAGTCCATTTTGATTCAAAGTGACTATAGAGCAGAGAACTGCTCCGGCCTTTCTCCGTCAGAATGGCTAGTGGATTCACACTGTCCACCTCTAGGTTGACAACAAAGCACTTTAACCACCGTACCACCAGGGCTTCTCGCTTTGTTCCCAGCAATCCAACAGACTGAGCAGTCAACAGGTTGGCTCCAACCACAGTGACCGTGTGCATCAGAATAGAGTTAGGCTCCCTGGACACTCAGAGGTAGATCACCAGGCCTGTCTTCCCAGGTGCCCCTGGGTGGACTTGAACCCTCAATCTTTGGGTGAACAACTAAGCTCATGAACTGTCTCCATCACCTAGGGATTTCAGTTTTCAGAAATACTCTCATTGTTGTCGAGGGAGCTCTGGTGACCTGGTAAGGAGCTGCACCACCACCCCAAAGGTATGTGGTTCAAATCCACGGGAGGAAGATGGGCTGTCTCTTCCCATGAGATTTACCATCTCTATAAACTCTCTGGAGGGTCAGCTGCAAGACCGTTCTAACTCAATAGCACATAACAATTCTTTGTTGAGCAGATTGCGATTCACATGGCCTTGTGGGTCTGGGCAGAACGGCCCCAGTGTTTCTAAAGCTGTGAATCTTTCTGGAAGCAAACTGTCTGTCCTGTTTATCCCTGTGGAGCGATGGGCTCAAAACACTGACCTTTTGGTTTGCACTCGAGTGCTAAAATGCTGTGCCACCAATGCCTGAGGGTCCCATGGACTGGTGTCAACTTGCTGACAACTGTATTTGCTTACAGTAACAACAACCCTAAAAGCTCACCCCCCTCGAGACAATTCCCACTCACTGGGGTCTCCACGGGACCTGATGCTATTAATCTTAATGGGAGGAGACCCCTCATTTCTCCCACAGAACACCTGGCAGGTTCATACTGCACACCTTTCTATTAACAGCCTAGCCCTCAGGCCGCTCCACCGTCAGCAAAGCGCTGAGCTAACGAACATGTTTTCATTACTGCCCAGGAAAGAAATCATCAGGGCCTGGCCTGTTCCCTCCCACCTTTGTCCCGGATCCCGGCTGACTCTCAGCCATTCCCTTCCACACGTCGCACACCATGATTGAAAAGCACAGAGCAGACAGCCAGACACCTGAACCATCATTCCCCAAGCAGAACCGAAATCGGGCCCGTTCCCTCCTCCTGGGCCCATCTCCCTGGACCGGCCCCACACACGGGAGGGGAGAGGGCTTGGAGAAAGCCTCCTGTGTCCCCGGGACAAGCACAGATGCTGTGTGGTGTCCCCATGTCCAGTCGGATCACATCAGCATGGTGGCCAGACAGCCTTCTCTGGACAGAGGGGCCGGCTCAATGACTACCGAGGAGGAAAGGGACGCCGACATAGGTGTGAGCTGCATGTGGAGGGAGGGGTGGCATGGGGGAATCACTCGGAAGCCAGAGGAGGAGAGGTGGACACCAACAGCAAGAGGCCAGTCCAGAAACGATGTACCCAGAGCAGGGCTAATAAAGCAGGAACATTTATTAGGCACTCAGATTCCTCACAGAGGAGCAAGAACCAGGGCGGAGGCACCCAGGAAATCTGTTGAGGTCGCAGGAATCTCTCCAAAGAGTCCAGAGAAGTGTGGGCACCGCTGGCCGACACCCCAAGAAGAACACTATTTGGCTGTGGCGGGGACAGCTCCTTGGCCCCACAAACACTGAGGACACCCACTGGCCACCTGTGAGCCAGAATGGGGCTGGGGAAGAGTGAGCAGGAGAGTGGGCTTCCCGGCTGGACCTGAGGCCCCCCCCCCACACCTGGCCGCCGCCTCAGTCCCACACGTAGGGGTTTCTAAACACCTGCGAGCTCCGGCCGTCCTTGGCTGGGGCGGCCGCCTGCTGGCTCTGGGCGGCGTACATGTCTTCGGCACGCAGGGTCGAGTTGGCACTGCCCATCACCTGGCTGTTGGCAGTGGCCCTCGGGAGGATGACGTCGTAGGCGCCCTCAGCCTGGGAGGAAGAACAGGCGGCCGCACAGTTGGGGGGTGCTGGGAGCCAGGTTCCGCCCGGGCAGATGCCCAAACCCGCTGCTTCCTGTGGGGCTGGGCCTGCCAGCTCCCCAAACTGCCCCCTCCTGGGCCAGCCCCAACTGGTGGGCAGGGCGGCTGAGTCTCAGAAATAGGGTGATCTGTAGGCCCCTCACCTCTGACTGCATCAGACAGCTCTTCCATCAGCCACAGATGAAGCCCCAGCTACCTCCCGGAGGGGCTGTTCTTACCCTCTTCTCTGGCCCTAGGCTCCTTGGGAGACCAACAGCCCCAGTAGTGGGTGAACCACACCAAGCTGCCACAGTCACAGTTCTTAGGTGCCTTGATTTGATTCTGACACCTAGCAACCCCGTGTGACAGAGCGGAACTGCCACATCAGGTCTCCTAGGCCAGGAGCAGACAGCTGTAGGTTTCGCCCTTGGATCCACTGGGGGGTTCAAACCACCCATCTTTCAGGTAACAACTAAGCACTTAACTGTTGCACCACTGAGGCTCCCCAAGCTGCTATCACCACTTGCCTGGTAATCTCCTTCCTTCAAGAGCCCCCTTTCCGCCGCCCCCGCTCCCCCAGCATCTGAATCACTGCAATACCCAAACCAGGAAGAACTTATTCCCAGAAAAGACACTAGCTGTCAAGATACTAGACGTGGGCTTGAGCCCACCCCGTGTCACCCCCAGAGCTCCTGATTCAGCTGGTCTAGGGGAGGCCCCAGGACTTGCCTAAAAAGCAAATTCCCAGGCAATGCTGATGCAGGTGCTCTGAGAACACTCAGCTCAATAAATGAGCCGAATTCACTCACATCATTTCCAGGGACACTGGAAGCAGTGCCCGAGGGAGGCATAGCCATCCACGGGGCGTCCTGGGACTACCCACACCCATGGGTAGCTGTTCACTGTCCCTCAGAAACCCCCACGAGCCCCACAGCTCCGGGCCTGGCCAGCTCTCCCGTCCTGGCTGCAGGCTCAGGCTCAGGCGGCAGGAAGGAGCTCAAGGCTGGGAGTTTCAGATACACGAGCTCACTCTGTGTCCCCCCACAACCCTCGTGCTGCCCCCAGGGGGCTCCCAGAGCCAGAGGAGGATGAGAAAGCCACCCTGCTGACCTTCCTCCTTCCTGTTCCCAGTGTCCTGCCAAGGCGGGTCGCTGACCTCTCCCCACGGTGAGTGCCAGCCGAGATGCAAGGTCATATAAGGAGCGACTCTAACCCACCAGTTTCCGGTTCCCACCCCCCTCCCTGGGCCAAGGAGCATCTGGTTTCCAGAACCCTGGGGGAGGGGAAAGGTCAGGAGTGGCAGTCTGGGTGGGGGAAGGGAGGTCCTCAGGCAGCTCTGTGAGTGAAGAGAAGCCCTCCTGCCACTCTGGGCCCCTGTCCCTCTGGGGCGTGAGGAATGACACCTGGACAGGCGTCCCACCCCAGCTCCCTGCAGCACCTGGCCCAGCCTGCAGGACACCCTGACACCCACAGCTGGGGACAGGTCCACCACTGGGAAAGTAGCATTAAGAGGTGGGCCCTGGGTCTCTGCGGTCGTGCACCGCCCCCATCCCAAGTCTGCCTGGACACCCCCCAGCAGGGCGGTGGACCCCAGGACCACTCACTGGGCCTTTGTGCATCAGGGCCATTTCGGTGGGCTGGTACACGCTGGTCAGCAGCTGCCCGTTGTAGCCGCTGTATGGTGACACGGGCCTCTTGGCTGGAAGGAAGCAGAAGGGTGGTGGTTTAGGACACTCAGTTGCCAGGAGTCCAGGGCACAGGCCGAGGGAGCAGGCTGGTCCTGAACAGTAGCTAAGAGAAGTGTCCCATCACGCACAGGGAGCTTGGGGACAGAGTTATGGGTGTGGGATCCCCCCAGCACATTGCTCCGTAAGGCCGGCAGAGGAGAAGAGGACACAGCCCTGCCTGGCCTCCCCTGGGGCTGTCCTGCAGTGTGACACCCCCAACCCCAGAAGTGCTCTCTCAGCAACTTTCACATCCCCATCCGCTCGGCGGGGCCAGAGGCCAGGAGGGGCACACAGGCTGCCTTCCAAGGTGGCCAGTCACCAGCTCTGGGCTCCACCCCAGCCACTCGCTGCCAAGTGCTGGGACAGATCCAGCTGAGACCCCTGGACCTGACTGTGGGGACCTCACAACTCTCCAAAGGCACTGGACACCCACAGCCACCTAGGGCTCTCTTGGCTCCCCCTGGGGCCCCTACTTCCTGCTCCAGAAGACTGCCCTGCCCTGCGGTGGGGGTTCCCCAGTCCGTCCCACCCTGCAGGGCACTGCCAGGGTGGTGGAGGAAAGCCTGCAACTGGCCCCAAGGCTGACAGCCAGCTGCCTCCTGCAGCTCTGAGGACCACAGCCGGTGTGGGGCTTCCTAAATGCTGTGCATACGTTATTGATTTTTCCATTTGAAAAAAAAAAGGAAGGGGGAAAAAAATAAAACAAACTCAGGGCCCAGAAGTGTTTGCCTTGGGAGGACAAAGGCTGAGGACAGGTTTGCTCTGAATAAATAGGAGATGGGTGAGTGCAGAGATGGGCATGGGGCGGGGGCTGGCGTTACCCACATCCAGCCAGAAGGCCCTCTCTCTGTGCTCCGGCACTGTTGGCCCCCCTCTGTCCACACTACCAGAAGCTCACACCAGAGGAGGGAAGCGCTCACCCCAGGAAAAAAAAGAGGAGGACCCGAAAAGCGGCAGGGGGCAGGTCAGGGGTCCCCTCCTATTCCCTAGAGCAGGATTCCAAATCTCAGAGATCTCACAGTTCTTAGAGAAGGGGCAAGGAGTCGGGTTTCTGAGCTGCTCTCTCTGCTGTGCTGACTTCCTGGCAGTTAAGAAAGCCCCAGGCAGGCCCCCTCTCCCTAAACATCCTGATCAGCTGTTTGGGGTTCAATTCCAGGCTCTGCGCTGGGTGACAGCACCACTGGCATGAGTTATGTCAGCCACAGAAGAATACCAGCGTAAGAGCCAACGGACGCCCGTGACCAGGCCCATCGGCAAAGGGTGCCATGCCAGGCACACAGTAGGTGCTCTGTGAATGCTAGTCGTCAATCCAGTTAACAGCAGGCTCAAACCGCATCCTTCTCACTGCCCTGCTACCCCTCAAACTCCAAGGTGTCCTCGGCTAGACCACTGAGGCTCTGCAGCCAGCTGGGCCCCCGGGACAGCCCTGTCCCACCAAGAAGAGCCAGGAGAGGACCAGCGAGCTGAAGAGCGAGTGCTGCTGAAATCAACATGCACCGACACAGTGCTCTGACTGAGATGAAATGTCTTTTCATTGTAAAGGCTTGTTTTTAAAGGAAATTAAGATGACTACAGTGTTGTTAGGAACCTCTCCAAATAACTAAGGAGTAATGATGTCAGTTTAAGGACTAAGGTGTGTCGGATTCACGCCATAGTCTTTCCAATCACTTGCTATGCATCTGAGAGCTGGACAATGAATATGGATGACAGAAGAATTGATGCCTTTGAACTGTGCGTTGGAGAACATCGCTGCACATTCCACGGACTGTCAAAAGAGCAAACAAATATGTCTTGGAGAGGGTACAGCCAGGGTGCTCATAAGAGGCAAAGATGATGAGGCTTTGCCTCACAAACTTTGAGCATGTTGCTAGGAGGGGTTACTCCTTGGAGAGGGACACGATGCTTGGAAAGGTGGAGGGTGGGCGAAGAAGAGGAAGCCCCCAGGTGGATTGATGCAGTGACTGTCACCATGGGCTCTCATGTGTCAGGAAGTGTGAAGATGGCACGAGATTGGACAGGGTTCAGAGCTGTTGTTCACAAAGTCTCTATGAGTCACACTTGACTCGATGGCACCTAACAGTGACACTAACAACGGTGCTGTTATGTACCACTGAGTCAGAACCGACCCACAGCTGACCTTCCGCTGGGTGGAGGAGACTTGGCACCTTTGGATTCGAACCAAGTGCCTTTGGGTTGACAGCAGGACTCCTTACCACTAAGCCAGACTACAGAGATGGCTACAGGGCGCTCAAACGGCCTAGTCCGTGGGGAGGCTGAGCAGCTCTGAGGGAGAAAGATGGGCAATCTCTTCCCATGCGGTTTACAGCCTCGGGAACCCCCTGGAGGGTGAGCTAAGAGTCAGGGGCCACTCAGGAGGAACGCATGTGAGTGTTCTGAAGATGACTATGGCTACGCGCAGCAGGATAACAAGCACCATAGGGATATGGGAGTGAAATCACGCTCATTCAAGTGGCCACTAACAGTGAGAACAGCCGTCCCAGGAGCCTGAGTGACACAGTGGTGGGGGAAGGTGTTTGGCTGCTACCCCAAAGCCAATAGTTTGAACCCACGAGCCGCTCTGTGGGGAAAGACGTGGCGGTCAGCTGCTGCAAAGACCACAGCCTGGAAACCCCACGGGCAGGTGGCCTCTGTCACTGTAGGTCAGAACTGGCTTGATGGCACTTGATGACAAGCTGACTGCTTACGGCATAACAGAAAAACAAGTTCTGGAAGGAAAGGGAGACACAGAGACGTAGGATCCCAGAGAGTGAACCGTGACTAGCTCTAGGGAGGGAACAGAACAGAGGGGCAAGAAGGGAGTGGAGGGGAGAAAGCCAGCTTTATCGGTAATGTTTGAATTTCTACTTCCAAACTCACCGCTCGTCAGTTCCAAATGTCCACAGTGAAGATAAAGTCACCATATATCTTGAACCCACCCAAATCTCTGCCCCTCCATCAATTCCAACGCAAAGCGACCTCCCATCAGGTTTGTGAAGCTGTAAACACCTTTGTGGGAGATTGTCGATCTCTCTCTGAAGGAACGGCTGGGGAATTTGAACTGCCAACCTTCTGATTAACAGTCCAACACATTATGCACTTTGCCCCCAAGGTTCCTGCTCATTACATGCTGTTATGTGCTGTTGAGTTCGAACAGACTTATAACTGACCCTCCAGCGTCTTTTCAGAGGATAGAAATTCTTTCTGGCAAAGCAACCTGGTGGATTCGAACTGCCAGCCTTTGAGTTGTCAGTGCAACTCTGTACCAGTAGGCACCAGAGCTCCCACTCATTACATAATAGCTGGGCATAGAAGGGAAAAGAAAACGAGTGTAGGAAGTGTTAAGCAGAAACCTTGAGAACCTTCGGTTTTGCTCACACGAGCCCGGCTCCCGGGGGTGACCAGATTGGGGACGGGGTGGGGAGGGTCCCCCTGGGCCTACCTGAGGCGGGCTCGTCCATGGAAAATGCCTTGTTCTCCACGAACATGCTCTGACCCTTCTGCTCTTTGAGGATGGTCTCGTAGCCCACGCCGCGGGTGGGGTACAGGTCCCCCTGGTAGTTCTGCTCGGGGCTGGCCTTGGTCAGCTGGGCGAGCTCAGGGATGACATAGAAGAGCAGGAAGGCCCAGGCGTTGGCGGCGAGGGCGATGGCCAGCGTGGGGTCGTCCCAGGTGGGGCTGTTGCGCTGCCGGTTGCCGTAGGTGTACATGACGATCCACACCACCCAGATGCCGATGGAGGTGGCCGTGGTGAGCAGCACGAAGACCCCGTGCTTCCGCCAGCGCTTGAAGCGGCCGCACAGGGCGGGCCAGGCCCCCGTGAAGGCCCCCAGCAGCAGCAGCATGACGTAGATGAGCGCCATCACGAAGTCCATGTTGGCAATGGCGCAGGGTGAGGGCACCGTCCACTCGGCGCTGCCGTTGCCCAGCGGGCCAGCCTCGCCGCCTCCCCGCACCAGGGTGATGATGAGCCACTCCGTGTTGATGACCACCTCCACCAGGGTCAAGAGCAAGGCCACGGTGAAGATCACCCAGCCCCGGGGCCCATGGTTCTTCCGGGCCAGGAAGTTGAGGGCGAAGACGTGGGCCATCAGACAGGAGAAGCAGATGGCGAAAAGCACCCCAAAAAGGAACCTCCGGGAGGCGCAGGTGGAGAAGTCGGGCTTCACCACGCAGGCAAACACGAGGCAGAAGAGGCCCAGGGTCCCCAGCAGGAAGAACACCTGGGTCCCCAGAAGGCTCCGCTTCTTGGTGTCCTGCACGAACGGGAGGCTGGCCACCAGGATGATGGTGAGGACAAACGTGGTGACGACGCCTGCCCCGGCCACAGCCTCCAACACGATGCCCCAGGCCCCGGAGCGGTCACACAGGTTGTAGTAGAGGGGGCTGAGGTCTGCGCCGCAGCCCGGTGGGGGGCTGTGCTGGGCCTGCGCCCCTGAGAGTAAGAAGAGAGCCAGTCCCAGGTACATCAGCAAGACGTGGGGGGTGGTCATCCTGGCTCCCAGGCCAGGCACCCACTGGGTCCTTCAAGAGAAAGAGACACAATCAGTCTTCCCAGGCCAGGCTCCCACTGGGTCCTTCAAGAGAAAGAGACAAGAAGCAAAATCAGTCCTCCCAGTGCTGCTCGCCCATCCTGGCCCGCTGCATTCTCTCCCAGTCACGAGCTTCTCCCTCTGGCCTTCAGAGACCTTCTAGAACCCCTGGGGGCCACATCAATGAGGAGAGAGGCACACAAGATGTGGCCCTCCCTACTTCCAGTCACAGAAAAGGAGACACTCAGTTTTCAATGTTTTCCACCCAATGCCCGCCCTCATCCAAATATTGTCTCCATTCAAATATTGTCTGAGCTCTTGGGGTTGCGGTGGGAGTAGAGAACTTGAGCCCCCTCAATCAAGGCCAGTCCCCCACACTTGTCCTCTCTCTCCTGGGACTCCAGGGCTCAAAAGCCCAGACACTCTGCCTTTACACGCTGAGTGTGCCCTATCGCACACTGCGGGTTTTGAGGCCTGTTATTTTGGGAGTAGCCGGCCTATCCTTCTCCCTCGTCTTAATCTGGATGCCCGACTCTAGAACAAGATTTGACAGGCAAGAATTCTGTCCAAAAGAGCAGATGAGAGGCCTTTCCCATTATTCCGGTAACAAATCAAGCATTGTTGTTGTTGTTTTTGTTGCTGTTGTTATGTGCCGTTGAGTTGTTTGCAACTCATAGCGACCCTATGTATAACAGCCCTAACTTCTGCTCTGTCCTGCGCCAATCGCACTGCCTCTGACACACCCATTCCGATTACCCCAGTCACTGAATCAATCCATCTCATAGAGGGTCTTCCCCTCTTGCGCCATCCCTTCACCCTCCTAAGCATGTACCTCTACAAGGACCTGTCCCTACTTGCAACATGTCGAAAGTTTGTCAGACGAAGCCCCAGAATCTTTGCCTCCAAGGAGTTGCTTGGTTTAACCCTCTCCAGGATGAACTGTTTGTTTTCTTAGGAGTCCAGAGTACATTCAATACTCTTCTCCAGCACCACAGCTCAAAGGCATCAATTCTCCTTCTATCCTCCCTAGTCATTGTCCAACTCTCCGATGCATAACAAGTGATTGCAAAGACAAGCGTAGGTCCCTTTAAACTCAGGCTTGTGGTGCCGAAATGCACAACGAATCAACTATTAATCACTCGGCCACTCAACAGGTAATTAACAAGCTCCCATGGCAGGGCTGGAGGCACGCTGGTGGCACAATGGTTAAATGGTTGGCTGCCAACCAAAAGCTCAGTGGTTTGAATCCACCAGCCACTCCTCAGAAGGATGGGACGTCACTTCTCTGAAGAACAGCAGTCTTCCAGCCCTGCTGGTGCCTCTACCGTCTTCCACAGTCACTACGAGGTGGAACCATCTCAATGCCAGTGGCTACATTTGGCCGTGGTTGTGGGAGGGACGACCAGTGGGTCAAGGAGGTGGAGCAGAAAAGTTCCTGATTATGGACCATTCCCGCTGGGCTCCTCCCTTCGCTTCTCTTTTTTCTGCTCCCCATTTTCACCTCCAGCGCTCACTTTCCACTCCAGAATCCAAAGTTCTTGCTCAGCTCAGTTGTCAAGGATAAAATGAACTAATAATTCCCCTGCTAAGGGAGTTAATGACTTAATGCGAAAACTCTCCAATGAGGCATTAACATTTTAAAAGCAAGAACCAGGCAAGGGCAACACAAAGCCCCAAGGAATTAATCTTTAACAGCAGACTCTCTGAGGCTTTGCAACTAGATGGGGGGAAAATTCTTTCCACACCAGGAAGGCATTACTGCATCTGTTCATGTAAACCAGCCCCCACAATGGCGCTAGAGAGAGTGGCCATCAGCACAGAAGAGCCCCCAGCCTCCCCCCAGGGCAGCGGGCTGAGCCCGGTGCAGAAGCAGAGGGACCCATGATGCAGCTGATTATGGTAAACTGAAGATCAAATTTAAAAAGTTTTCCAGTGAACTCAATGAATTTTAAATCTTCTGGAAGGAAACCTAACACATTCTTAATTACAGAGGTGTCCTATATAAAGCAAGTTACAAACCCCAAAATTCTAGACAATATAGGTACTACACATTAAGACCACCCTGAGTGTCAAATTACAGTTGTCACCATGTCTCTTCCTCCCAGAAATTCTCAGAGTGTAACCAAGCTTTCCCTGACTGTCAGTGACTACTAGTGGCTGGTGGGAGAATGGCATAATCTAATGGAGAGGGGTAATCCCTTCCGGTTCTTCACACACACACACACAAAAAAAAAAAAAGCTCTGTTTTTTTACAAAAGAGGAGGCCCTCCTGGGAGGGGAGAAAAGTACAATAGTTAGAGAAGTAAAGAAAATGCAAACTCACTGCTGTCGAAGCAGAACAGACTCACAGCTAACCCTCCATTGGATTTTCTGAGGCTGCAAACTGCACAGGAGACAGATCAACTTTCCCTTCAGAAACTGGTGCTTTCGAACTGCCTGCCTTTGGGTTGGCAGCACAGCTCCTTACCCAGTTGGCCACCATAGCTCTCTCAGTTTATCATTGTTGTTAGGTGCCGTCAGGTTGAGTATGACTCATAGTGACCCCAGAAACCACAGGGCTCAGATCTTGTTAAATATCAGTTACAGTTTCTCTTTTCCATGAATTATTAAGATTACTAAATCACAGTGACTGTTTACAATATAGTAATTGGGAAAGTCTTCTTTGATACAAGGTTTCTGTGCTAATTCCTGACTTGCATCAGGAAAATCCTTCTTGATACATGTTTCTAGTAAAGACGGTCTAGGAGGTTTTTCTTTCAGTTAAACAAAAGGTTTCAGTTTTAGGATGATTTTTATTAATATGAAATAGTCCAGGAGGTTTCTCTTGGGTCCAGCAAAAAGGTGACAACTTCAGAAGAGAAAGTGTTGTGGCTTCTATGCTGAAGACACAGCCCTTCTGATAATGTCCTTTCTGTTTGAAGACAGCTAAGCCCCGGCAAGCTCTAGCATCTTTCGTGTGGATGTGAATGAACCTCCCTTCCAGAGAAAAGGGTTTGGCACCAGCAGTCAGGAAATCAAAAAACGTATTGCGATGGGAAAGTCTGCGGTTAGGGACCTCTCTAAAGTACTCAAGAGCAATGGTGTCTCTCTGGAGACTAAGGTGCGCCTGATACAGGCCATGGTTTTTGCAATCACTTGTTATGCATCAGAGAGTTGGACAATGACTAGGGAGGATAGAAGGAGAATTGATGCCTTTGAGCTGTGGTGCTGGAGAAGAGTATTGAGGATACCATGGACTACCAAGAAAACAAACAGATTCATCCTAGAGAGGGTTAAACCAGGCTACTCCTTAGAGGCAAGGATTCTGGGGCTTCGTCTGACATACTTTGGACATGTTGTAAGGAGGGAGAGGTCTTTAGAGAGGGACATCATGCTGGGTAGAGTAGAGGGACAGTGCAGGAGGGGAAGACCCTCTATGAGGTGGATTGATTCAGTGACTGGGGTGATCGGGATGGGAGTGTCAGAGGCAGTGCGATTGGCACAGGACAGAACAGGGTTTAGGGCTGTTGTACATAGGGTCGCTATGAGTCGCAAACGACTCGACGGCACATAACAACAGCAACAACAACAACAACAATCCTGGCAATGACTTGGCTGCTTTGGACGGACTCTTAAGCTCGGGTAGGCATACTTACTACCACGACATGACCCCTCTGCTCAGAGCGACAATGTGCTTCTCTATGACTGCACCACTGAAGCTGTGCCATGAACCATGACCTGCTCCAAGGAATAATATCTGTTCATGCTGCTTTACCCTGGAGCCAGCTCATCTGACTTTCACTCTGGATCCATCCCTTACAGGCTGCATGACTTCGGGCATGCCATTAACACCGCTCTGTGCCTCAATTACTTCAGCCGTAAACGAGGGGAAATAACAGCATCGACGGTACAGGATTATTATAAGGACAAAAATGAATTGCCATGAAATCCAAAACACCCATCCCACTGTCAATTCCAACTCAGTGCAATTTCAAGGGCTGCTAACCTCTGTGGGAGAAGGCCGTCTCGTCTTTCTCCCACCAAGCAACAGGTGGATTGGAACTGCTGACTTTCTCGTTAGCAGCCTAACACTTCATGGGCTGTGCCACCAGACACCCCACTCCCACCCTCTCAGAGGAGGCATGGAGGCAACTGCATTTAGGTCAAGGCTCAAAGCATGTCTGGCTTTGACTATAGGCATCAGCTTTCTACAAATCATGTGTTCGTTCCTAGGCTACAGGCTCTGAAGTGTGGCGTAGCGGATGAAGTGTCGGGCTGTTAACAGAAAGGCTGATGGTTCAAATCCACCATCCGCTGTACAGGAGATGATCTGCTCTGTAAAGATGCACAGCCTTGGGCATCTGTGTGCAGTCCAACTCTGACCTACATGGTCAAGAGGAGTCAGCTTCGCCCCCTGGGCAGTGGGGTTGGGGTTACTCAATTCAACTTTGGTAACAGACAGACAACAATTCTCAGTCTCAGTTCACAGAAACTGTCTCCCTGCGATGTTTAAGTGCAAGAATAGATTGACGTCCCCATCTAAGGAAAAGAAAACTCACAAAACGAAATGCACTCAACATTATGACGATTATTTTCCAACATCATTATGTTTGTGCTGTTAGCTGCTATTAAGTCCCTTCTTGACTCACAGTGACCCCCTGTGACAGAACAGAATGCCCCTCAGGGTTTTCTTGCCTGGGATTTCCTCTTTTCAACTATTTTGCTGTTGTTAAGAACGTGCACAGCAAAACAGACACTGCTCAACTGTTTGCATGAATAATCTGCTGCAGTGATGACACGCTTTGTGTCCTTGTCTGAGTTATTCCTCCCACTAACACAAACTCCCTTGTCTCCGAAGGTTCCAATCTAATTTTTGATCCCATACGGATGGTTCTTTTTCTTTTTAATTACTTTTGTGTGTGAGTACAGTCAAATCGGATCTGACTGGTACAGGAGGAGATTGTCCCTCCTTCCCTGGCAGAGCATCTGGTGGATTCAAACTGTGCACCTCTGGGATTGTAGTTGCAGCTCCTTGCCACTAGGCCACCAGAGCTCCCCATACGGATGGTTCTTAGAAGTGAGCTGTAACCTTGACGGAGACAGGTTGCTGGGTGGATTTGAAGTGTCCACCTTCTGATCAACAGCCAAGCACTGCAATCACTGTGTCACCAGGAAGGTTATCTCCAAAATAGACTCTCCACAGCCCTTCAGGATATCTTCCATACTATCTGAAAATATTTCAGGTATTTTCACTTTCTCAGCAAATCCCTGGGGGGCACAAACCACTAAGCATTAGATTACAAGGTGAGAGGTTGGTAGTTCAAACCCAGAGGTTCCTTGAAAGAATGGCCTGGCAGTCTTATTCCGAAGAGCAGCCTTGAAAACCCTATGAAGTGGTTCTGCTCTGGCAACCAAGGACAGCACAGCCTCTCCCTCCCTTCTCATTCTCCCATTACGCCTCCTTCTCCTTCAACACCACCTACCATTAGCGCTTAATAAATTCACATTCTAATGTTTGCAGGACAAACAATCTTACACGAAGTGCTGTTAGAATTCTCCTGAGACACAAAGAGAGTGAGACTTCATCTTACATGCGCTGGACACCTTAGGAGGAGGGGCCAGTCCCTGGAGACGAACATCACGCTGGGTCAAGCAGAGGGTCAGAGACACAAAGGAAGACCCTCAAAGAGACGGGCTCACACAGCAGCTCCAACAGAGGGCTCACACACAGCTGGGCCTGTGATGAGGGGGCAGGATGGGCAAGAACAGGACCCCTGACAGCAGCATGTGGATATATGATTGTTTAACAGCTCGATGGCATCATTATAGCTAGCATCCTTCACTGACGAGACACAGGTGAGCTTCCTCCACACTGGGATTTTTTTAAAACTTCTATAAGGGACTTTCTGTAATAAAACAAACAAAAGCCAGAGCACAAGCAGCATTTGCGAGCGCTCAAAGTGAAATGAGGAAACACTGAGGAGGAAAGAGCCCTGTGGATCACTCCAGAGAGGTCGTTCATGTGGGTAACAGCGTGCATGCGTGCAGGCCCACCCGTCTGTCAGTCTGTCCCACTGCGGCAGCTTACATGCTGCTGTGATTCTAGAGGCTATTACAAACATCAGCAGGGTTTCCAGGGTGGGCAGGTTTCAGAGAAGCAAGAAAGGTCTGGTGAACAAATGAAACTGTTATCCTAGAACATAATTTAATCTTAAACCAAAATACAGTTTCGTTTACCTAGGAAGAAATGTCTGCCTTGAGCATGGTGCTGTCTCAGTTCAATTCTGAGATCAACGTGACAACAGAAACTTGACAGATGGAGTGGGCAGCTTAGGGCCTGTGCGTCTATACTAATGGAGGAAGAAGACTCAGAAAGAGAGAGTCAGCATGATTACACAATTTGGAGGTTGTCATTAATGCCACCGATCAAAATCAATGCACACAGAGAAACCCGAACAGGTCTGTTTTTGCTGTGTCTGTTCCCAAAAGCAAAAAAGAAGTTATTTTTCCAATAAGAGAGGAAGGAAGGAAGGCCCTGCAAGCTACTTCTGAAAAGGTGCCAACCCACCCGCCCCGATCACAACAGAAGACGGTCTGCGGCGGCGCTGGAAGATGGGTCCCGGTGGCTGGAAGGCACTCAGACACCGAGGCCACAAAGGACCGGAGTCTCTCAGCGGTGCTGATGGCACAGGGCTGGCACGGCAGGGTCAGAAATGGAGCCATGGGAGTCAGTACCGACCTGACCCAGGGTGTGCCTGGCCCCCAGATCTGGAGAGACAGAGTTCACACCACTACACAGGGCCCCTCACACTCGGCTCCAGGCTTCCTCCCATGCCACAGCCTCTCATCTCACCTCCCTTGGTCAGGTTCCCGTGAAGAAGCGGAAATTTCTCCCAATCAGCAAATATTGACTAAGGATCTGGTGAGAACAAGGCCCTGTTGTTCTCAAAGCTGTGCAAAAACACAAAGAGGAACAAACACTGCCTCGGACTTGATAGCATTTAAAATATAAGAGGCGGCTTATGGTAGCCAGAATATTACACAGGAAAGTGCATGCCAGGTGCCCCACGGCAGTGAGAGGGGTCCGTGAACAATGAAGGGGCCACACAGGTGCCTCAGAGTCACTGACTCATGGAGACCCATGTGTGTCAGAGTGGTACCGTGCGCTGAAGGTTTTCCCACAGCTGTGACCTTTGAAATGGTGATCGCCAGGCCTTTCTTCCAAGGTGCTTCTGAGTGAGTTCATTCTTATAGCCAAACTTTTGGTTAGGAGCAAGCAGGAGACCATTTACACCACAAAGAGGAAACTTTTCAATAGTATTTAACAAAAATGTACTACTATGAACTCATTTAACTCATCTTGACCTAGAAACCTGTGACAGTCCCTGGAGGGCACGAATGAACAGTCAAGTACTTGGCTTCTAACCAAAAGGTGAGCTGGGTTCAAATTGACCCAGAAGTGCCCTGGGATAAAGACCTGGCAATCTACTCCCCAAAAGATCAGTCACTGAAAACCTGGTGCAGGGCCATAAAGAAAGCTAAGTCTCGCAGAATGCAACGTAGGGAACGAAGAGGCAAAGGGAGTGGAGGAAGGGGAAGAGGAGGTATCTCCAATTAAAGCTCCACGGGGAGTCCAAGTTCAATGCAAGAGAGGCTCACCAAGGGCACACTGAGTTTGTGAAGGGACACTGGCTGCTGCAGGCTGGTGGCAGATGAGAAAGGCTATAAAGAAGGATCTTGGTGGGGGGGGTGGGTCTACAGCGGAGGGGAGCCGCTGAAGGCTACTTATAGCACAGGCGAGGTATAACCAGAGTCGAGCTTTAAGAAATGAGTGTGGCAAATAGCACAGGCAATCAATTTGTTGGGCACACACCCATCTGGTTTAAAGATCAAGGTCAACGGTAAACTCGTGATAGCCAGAGAGAACCTTTCCAAAATAAAAATCTAAGGACTCAGTGGCTACGAGAAAAGGATGTGAACAGTGCAGGTTCAAATCTGGTAAGAGCCATGTCACAATGAACGGTCAGTCCAGTTAGGTCCTGTTTAATCCCAAGATCTTTATTACTCATACTCGTTCTTGACTTGCAAAGCAGCCCCTGGAAGGTGCAAGTGGTGAGGTGCTCAACCAATAAGCAAAAGGTCAGTGGTTCAAATCTGTCCAGATCCACCTTGGAAGAACTGAAAGCTGACTTGTCTCAAGAGCGGAATCTGACTCCTGGAGGGGCTCGGATGGGTCCCCAAGCCCTTCACAGAAGGACACAGTCCACCTTTCTTCTGTGGAGCAGCTTGTGGATTCAAACTGCCTGTCTTTCAGTTAGCATCCCAACACACAATAAACTACATCATGCAATATGCCCTTATTACGGCGCCTAGCAGTCTATCTCCAAAGATTATAAGCAAAACAGAACAAGGCACTGAATCAAGTCTAACTCCCACCAAACCTTTATAGCTTCAAGGCTGTAAATCTTCAAAGCTCTGGTGTCTGGTGCTGGAGAGCCCAGCTTTCTTCTAAGAAGGAGTGAGAGGGTTTGAACCACTGATCTTTTGGTTAGCAGCCTGACACCATGCTCCTTTCAAAAGATCACAGCCACTGAAAGTCTTAGGGAGGGAACACGGTTCTACTCTGAGATGCATGAGTCAGAATCAACGACAGCCAGCTCACCTATCAGGCAGCGCCTCGGTACCGGACATCTGAATCAGGCCAGGGAAGCTGCAAGCCCTTGTCCCACGTCCTGTTGTCCAGCTGCCCCAAAACTTACTAACCTCACAGGAAACAACTCATTCCCTGTCTTAAACATCTCAGCTCTTCGGTTTCTCCAAAGTGGGTTAGGGAGACAGGCATATTCAAGGGATGAGAATGAGCCTACTGGTCTCTTGTCCACTGCCGGGGACAGGGACGGCAGGCCAGGGACAGAGGCCATCAGGAGGGCTCAAGGGAGGAAGCTCAGGTGCTGGGTACAGAAGTACTCTGCATATTTGGTAAACCAGTCAGAGACAAAAAAGTTACTAGACCACAGGGTGTGTGGTTCAAACCCTCCCAGTACTTTGAGGAACACTGAGCCAGCACTGTGATTCCAATAAAGACAACAGCCAAGAGCACTCTGTCACATGGGCTGTTGTGATTTGGGACCTAACAGCCAAGGGGAAAGGGCTGGGACCAGATGGTCCTGGCTCTGTCCGGTCCTGGCTCTGCCTGAGGGGGTCCTGGGAGGCATCCGCCACTGTAGAACCTGTACTTCTGCAGCCACCGGCTGTGAGGTTGTGAGGTCGAGGAAGGGTGGCGAGCAAGCTGAGACATCTGGCACAGTGCCCTGGACACGGTGACCATTTGGAAATCCTACCCTGAACTCCTCCAATGCCCATCTCGTCCTGACCAAGGGCTGCCACCTTCACTCTGAAGTCACATCTCCTGGCTCAGCGTTGAGTAGCACCCAAGACGGAAGCAGGATGGGGGGCCTCCTGCCCAAGCCTCCCAGCCCCAGGCCAGAGCCAGGCCCCAGCTTCAGACTGTTCTGGACAAAAGGGCCCTTTTGCTTCACCTCCTCAGCACACTGACTTCTAATCGCTTCTGAAATCTGCTTTGCCTCGGGCTCAGCTGCCCAGCCCCAATTCTGGGCTTAGGCAGCCCCATCCAGCTCTAAATCCCCCCTTCACCTCCTTCCACGGGTGCAAGGCCTCGCAGGGTGGCTAGTGGGCCTGGAGGCACAGCCGGTCTTGATCAGCTGTGTTTGCGGGTGGCCCAGGGGTGTCTCTCATCTGCCCTGAGGGAGCATCTGGAGCTGAGCCCTCACCATCCACACAACTCCAGAACCCCTCCCTCCATTGGATACCCTCCTTCAGGGGTGTCTTTGAAGTGGGGACCATTCAGAGGCCCTCTGGAAGCTCCATCCCATAGAGCGCCTTCTGCCTCCCCATTGGTCACCCCTCAGGTGAAGACAGACACATCCCTGCCCATGAACGGCTTTCCCTCATCGTCCAGAGTCGGTCCCAGTTACATCCTGGGGGCTGTGACGTCAGCTCAGGTAGTGAGAAGGGGCATCAGATTGGGAGGGGGTGTCCCAGAACCTCAAGGAGACCCCAGACAGAGACTGGGAACTCAGGGCAAAATGCCCGCAGTGTTGAGACTCAGGGGCTCTGGAATGTGTCCCCTCCCCCAGTGGCACTCCCACCGCCAACCACACTGGAAGCATGCGGGGAGGGGTAAATTCTAGGAGCACAAAAGTATGTGAAAATATTTCCCACATTGTGCTTCCGCATCAAGATCCCGATGTTTGTAGTGACAGAATTTTCCCGGGTGTAGACCCAGGGGCGAGGGGTGGAGGGAGCTCCAGGGGCCCGAAAAGGCGCTTGGAAAGGGAGAATGGGGACCGAGGGGCCAGAGTGGAAGCTCTCTGACAGCCTGAGATTCCAAATTTCCGCCTTTAAAAATTCTCATACCACCCCACACTCGGCTCTCTCCACTGTGGTCCACACCCGCACTCTCTCCACAGGACACCGGAACACGAGGTGCATCGAGCCGGCCACTTCCTCCGGCCACAGGCTGCCCACCCCTTCCATGGTGCCCGAGCGCGGAGGACGAGGGCCACAAGTCGCTCACACAGGCAGAGGGGGCGGTGGGAAGGATCTCGGTGACCCCGACAGTGGAGAGTTTCCCCTGCCCCCGAGTTGGAACCTCAGTACCAGGTTCCCCCAACCCCCATTCCCCAGCGGGCTCGGTTTGGAAACTTTCTGCGAGCCGGTGGAGGGAGTTGGCGCAGCGTCCCCAGCACCCGTCTCTGATCTCCAGGGCTCCCCAGGCCCGGTCCTCACCCGCTCCGCGCCAGCAGGATCCTACTCTTCCCGCGGCCTAGGAGAGGGAGGAGCAGCCCTTACCTGGGACGCGCAGGCCCCGCTCCCACCGCTTACGGTCAACTCCAGCCGCAGGCAGGGCGCGCAGGGTGAGAAGGGGGTGGCGAGAGCGCGCGGCCGGGGCCCAGCCGGGGTCGGGGTGGGGGACCCGGGCGGAGGCTCGGGCGCAGGGCCTGCCTCTCCCGGACAGACGCCCCGGAGCTGCTGCGCTGCGCTGCGCTGCACTCTGGCTCGCCGGCCCTCGCGCGCCCGGCCTCTCCCCAGCTCGGCCCCTTTCTTCCCCGAGGGTGGGCCAGCGCCTGCATCACCGTGACATCACCTCCATTCTGGGCGCTTATCGGCGCTCACGGCTCCAGGTATGAGCGGCCGGCCCGTTTACACAGACGCAAAGCCCGCCTGCCCAGCCCCTCGGGACTCACCGCCCTCGCGGGGCCCTGGCGCACTTTCCGGCGGGGGGTGGGGGGGGCGCTCTGCGAGTTGTGGCTGGGCTTGTTTGTGGTTGTTTTGTTTACTGCCACGCCCCCGCACGTAGGTGCGCGCACTCCCGCGCACTCACTTTCTGGACTCTTGCTTACTCTGGGCGGCTGTTTAGGGAGCCGTATAGGACGTTCTCGGAGCAGGCTTCCTACCTGCGTGTCCCCAGCACGCGTGTGTTGACCCACGCGGATGCTGCCTTGGTGCATCTGTCCGCAATGGACACCCTGCCTTTTGTCTCCTTCTACTGTGCAAGGCACCGTCCACTGCAGGGGACAGAAGCGAGGCGCCCCCTCACACACAAAGTCCTTCTTCGCCACGCACCCTGTGCCCTCCTTTCCTCTCTGCACACGTGAACACACCACACACGCTTCTGGCACACGTGGTGCTTTCCCAGGCCC